GGTGTCTTCCCACTTACTCTGAAAAATCTGATTTCCATGGACTAAAGGCATTTTACCCAAAGTATCTTTGGATATCTGATTAAGTGTAGCTTTTTGGGGTGGGACACTCTACTGCCTGCTGCTGACACACACCATTATCCACAGTGGTGTGAGACTGGAATGGATGTGCAAGGTTTGCATGTTACACCCAGCCCCCAGAGCATGGAGACTGAAATAGTCCCAAGCATATGTTAATTTTCACTGAATATTAGATGAATTTGACAGCGTGTTTTAGTCACATGGCTCTGTGGAAATAGATGTACTTCTTGACTGGAGGAGTTTCTGTGGATTAAATGAACATTTGAGAGCTTTTTCTTTGGTGTTACCACTTGTCTTTGTGCTGTATGGCTTTGATTTCTGTGTATGATCTCAGTGCATGCAAAACAGGCACAAGAAATTATGCATAAACTCTTAAAACAGAAAGTTTATATAGTTTGGTTGAATTCTGAACTTTACAACAGTGAGTGACAGCACTTATTACTAAGGATAACACTCTGAAACTTGCAACAATATTATCATGAGCCTTGAAAAATTAATGAACTTGGTATTTTCCTTAAATATTCTAGCCATATTCAAGTATACTTGATTGTTGAAATGTGTCCTTCCTTTTCAGGAAGGTGGTTTTCATGAAGTTTTGATGCAAAAGTGAAAATTATTTAATTTATTTATTGCTGTTAATTTGAAGCTTTTTTAGTTTTGACAGTTTTTGTTGTTGAGATTTCCCTGTGATTGTCATCAATTGGAATATTCTGGATTAATGCACATTTTTATTTTGATCCTGGCTAAATTCTAAGAAATCCATGGGGCTGAAGCTAAGATGTGAGCCTGCTGCATTGAAACTGGTGGAAGTGAGTCTCCAGTTGACCACTGTGTTGATTAGAGCCTCCTTATTGCTTTTTCTTTGGGTTTTGGGTGCTTTTTTAGCTCATCTCAAGCATTCATCTCCTCTCCTCACCTCTCCTCATTTTTAAAGCTTGATGAACACTTTCTCAGAACATTTCCATCAAATAAAGTGCATAAAAGCCCGAGGTACACAATTTCTAGTCACTCAACACTGATAAGCTGAAAATTACATAATTCTTTCTGGTGGATTTATTTTTTCTTCTTATTTTTAGGGCTTTTACAGAAAGAATCTGCCAGTGTTCTGTTCCTACCTATTAATATTTCACACCAAAATGCACTTTTAGAGCTTTCTGGGCTGACATGCACATCGGAATGATTTCATTGTTCTTCAAATGCAATGCACTCTCACACTGAAAGGAAATACAAGTGTCTGCATTTAGGGATGTAAATTGTGAAAAAGGGTTTTAAATGCTTGTGGACAGCAGGATGGGTGATGAGGGAGGGCAGGACCACAGCTCTCTGCTTTGTTGTATCCCCATTTTCAAGGTTCCACAGCATTAGGTCTTTATCTCTGCAGGGTCACACTTAAATATTCCAGGAGACTTTTGTCTTTCAGCGAGACTAGTTTGACACTCAGACTAGTCAGAAGTGCTTCTAATAGATTTAAATTCCATTAAAAATCCCTTTTTGAACAGTTCCACACCATCACTAATTACCAAAATATTGCCATTTTGCACCAGCTTGTGTTCTCTTTTCTCTTTGGTGTGTCCTTTAGTGTGTCATTGCAGGCTTGATGGAATGTTCTGTTATACCCTAAGGTAAATGGCTCAAAACTGCTTTCAGTAATTAATATTACATTAAAAATCCCTGTGACTTGAGCAGCCAGATGGAAATATGCCATTCCACAATGGGATCTTTGAAACTTGGTTTGTGCCCAGCAGTGCACCTGCCTTCCTGGATGCAGAAGAAAGGAGGAACCAGAAAGTGTTGCCGGCACACAGAACCTGAGCAGCTGCCACCACAGAAAAGTGCTCTTTAGGCTTCTCCAAGATTTTTAAAGACCCAAATCCCAAAGAAGTTGCGATGTCTGTGCTTGTTGTAGCTGAGACAGTCATAGTTGAAACGGAGACAATACAAAACAACACACTCCATTTTCAGAAGGCTTCAAGTCCCTCTTTTATTTTAGTATGCATGCTTTTTATACATTCTTATAAAGCTCATAAGTTTGAAGAGTTACTCATTGGTTAGAAGAGACAAACAAAGTGCTTATTGGAATAAGCAGTTGCAGGCTTTTCTTATTTATTCTCTTATTTATTTATCCTTCTTTCTTTCTTGGTTTCTAAGTCAGCGACCTTGGTAGGAAATTCTTTCAGGTGTAAACGTGGATCCTCTTCTCAAACTTCTCTCTGGCTCACAGAAGTCACTGTAAAACCTCTTCCACATGTGCTTTTGTTGACAAATTTGTGTGTAACAGGACTTATCCCACCTCTGCTTTGGGTAGGACTCTGGTCTAGTTTGAGTAGTTTCATTGACCTTTCTTGCACTGAAGAAGACCTTCTGTGGCTCCTCATTTTACTGTGCCTCCATATAACCCAAAATTAGGACAACAAATTGCCTGTATTATTATGGCAGATAATTATCAGTATTTCTCCTCAGGTTTGTTGTGCTCATGCTCGTTATGCTCCAGATGCTTCTGAGGATGAGGAGTGCTCAAATGTTATCTTACAGCTCCCCTTTAGGTTATGAATCCAAAATCCCAACATGAAGAGAGTGAGGAGCCACACACCAGCTATTATCCCTGTTCAAGGTGGGCTTTGCAGCTTGGATAGGAAGGGGAGAAGTGGATTTTTGTACGAGCAATAAAGGGGTGCATAAGGCAGGTCATGCACAGCAGATGAAATTCTGTGTGCAGCTGCGTCAGTGCCAGTTTCCTGCTCAGAAACAGGAGCAGTGTTAACAGCTTGCAGCCAAAGCAAGAGAAATCCAGAGGGATTTTGGGGATAGAAATGTTCTTTGTGAATCTCCATGTAACGCTTTGTTTGAGCTGCTGTAATTAGCAAGTACCCTGGCTGTTCTACGACAGTGTTTGACATTTTGTTCTCTCTGGCAATCCATGGGGAGAGCTGAGATGAGGGAATGTTCATGATTAGCACTCCACAGAGTAAGTATTAGTTTTTTTGCCTTTTTGATCCATCATGCTTTTAACTATTGGATTCTGTGGAGCCTAAGCTTTGAAACCCCACATAAAAACCTCCAGTAAGACATTGCCTTGCAGCAGTGGGATAACAATTATAGAATCCCAGAATGGTGTGGGTTGGAAGGGACCTCAAAGCCCATCTTCCTCCGTCTGCCATGGGCAGGGACACCTTCCACTATCCCAGGCTGTTGCATGTGCCCAAAGCTTAGCCAAAATCCATTGCTCCTAAAAAGGGATTTCATGGCCAGTAATGGTGATCTCAGTGCTGTCAGACAATGATGGTCTCCTTGGCATTAAAAATGTTGCTTGGTGTGGTGAACTGAGACTGAATTAATTTTAAAAAGACACACAACCCCCCCCATCTCCCATCCCCAAAATGAACTCTACAGGAGAGTTCACATATATTACACAGGGGTATAGTGATAGAACACGGGGAACTGGTTTTAAAATGAGAGAAGAGAGATTTAGATGAGATGATTGCAAGAAATTCTTCCCTGTGAGGGTGCTGAGGCCCTGGCCCAGGGTGCCCAGAGCAGCTGTGGCTGCCCCTGGATCCCTGGAAGTGTCCAGGGCCAGGGGGCTTGGAGCAGCCTGGGACAGTGGAAGGTGTCCCTGCCCATGCCAGGGGTGGAATGGGATGGGCTCTTAGGTCCCTTTCAATCCCATTCTGGGATTCTGTGGTGTCCCTTGATTTCACAGATACATTGTCAATTCTGCCTTCACCCATAAAAAGCCCCTCTCAAGCTTTCATGGGTTCTGGGAAAGTGATTTCCTGCCAGCCACTGAATTAAATCCCATTGTACCTATTTTTGTGCACAGCGGGGGCTGCAGGGCTCAAATCCCTGTAGCTCTTCAGGCACCATTTTCCTTAAAGCTGCTCTCTGGCTTTATACTTCATTTTAAACAATCACAAGGCTTATTCAGAAGCAGAAGAAGGGTTTTTCTTCAGGTTTTTCTTCATAGTCTCTTCACTGCTCTCAATGCAATGAATGGAAAATATTTTGTATCTATGTGAATTCCCACTCCTTAGTAATACAAGTGCTCGCTGCATTTTGATTCCTGCATAGAGAACAAGGATTCTGATCCTGAGGATGTAAGCTTCTGCTTGTTCACCAGAAAGACACAGAGCTCTTTGGCCAGGATCCATAACAACACCTTTTGGTTGTTCACAAATAGCTCTGTCTGGTCCAAACCCACAGTTAGATAACTTCTGTGAATTGGAAGAGACAGGTCGTACTGTGCAGTTTGGCAAGTTCCCACTGTAATCTCTGCTGGAGTCAGCCCTGATTTTGCTGGAATACAGTAAATATTAACATATTCCTGTAGATTTGGAATTCCTCTATGTGTATTCTCAAAACAAGAAAGTAGGAATGCTGGAAAGTGTGAATTATTGCCCACAGAGGTACTCTTGTCTTTGGGAAATATTGATTATTTTTACTCTAAAAACTTTCAGAGAGCATTTTTGACTTATGTTCTTACTCAAGAGCAGTAAAGTGGCCCCAAAAAAATCTGTCTCTTTTCCAGGTTTGCTCTACCTAAGAGGACCAGGCAGAAAGGTTTGTTCTCAATTGTGCACTAACATTTTTAAAGGATTTAAACATTTTATTTTAAAATATTTATGTACTGAGTAGTTATGCACTGAGTACGTAATTCCATTTATGTACTGAGTAGTTATTTTTCTTGAGAGTTGCCAGCCAGGCAGGTTTCACAGGGCAGTGATTGAGGGACTATCTGCAGGTATGAACCACAGATTTGTGTTCAGTACTTCAGGAATGTTGCTGCATGACCATGGTGCTGCTGTCCACGAAAACTCTGCTTTAGGGAAACAGGGTGCCAGAAAATGCATAGGAGCTATTTAGCTCCTTCTCAGATTCATCTGCAAATCCTTGAAATCTGTTTTCTTTATGTTCCTTAGGAGCAGTGGATCACTGGATGTGTTCTTTTTCAACACACACATTTTAGGGAGCTGTCAGATGCTGCCATTTGGGGTGAAGCCCCTAAATGAAAATGCAGATGCGTGTATGCCAAGGTAATGTGAGATATAAGACAAATAAACCTACCTTCCATCACAGATGGAAAGATGACTCTGAGACTTAAAATCCTGAAATTATTTAGGTTTGAAGGGACCTCAAGGCTCAAATTTCCTCCCCCTTCCCCTTTCCATGGGCAGGAACCCTTCCACTAGACCAGGTTGCTCCAAGCCCCATCCAACCTGGCCTAAACTGGTCCAAACTGGGTGATTAAAAGGCAGTAGAAGGTTCTCCAGCAGCAAATGGGATAGCAGTGCTTTCTGCAAGAAAGGTGGCCTGGGAGCAATTCATCTCTGCATGGAGTCACTGAATATTACAGCAATAGAAATTGCTTTTACCTGAGTGAAAAGCTTTAAGTCAAAGGCAGGAGAAAACCAGATTCCTCCATGCTGAATGTCAAACAAAAAATTAAGTAACTGAGTCTGATTTTTGTTGAGCAAAAACACTTCTAAAATCCTCTATTGCACTCAACAGTGCTTCAACAACCTTGTAGTAAATTAGATTAATAGGTGTTGATTTTCCAGCTGCTTCATTATCATCTGCTACATTAAAATCTAATTATTTATTCCCACAAGCGTTTTCCCTTACTCCTGGCTTTTTACTGGTGCTGCTGGTGCCACAAAGGAGCTGTGGTGTTATCTGTTCCTGCAGCCCGTGGGCAGCAGCAGGTGGGACAGCAAACATCTCTGTCACAAACAACCTGAGCTGCCATTCCTGCACCCTGCTGCAATTAAGCCTTCATTAGGAGCTGGTGAATAACTCTGCTGTTTCTCTCTCCTGGCCACGATCCCTCCCTCCCTTAAAAGGAAGGCATGACACAGATAAAGGTGGGGCTTTGCCCGCTCGGGTATTTCAGAGCCTTCCTCTTGGAGTTATGACTGCAGAAGGAGTCCTGGGGCACGTTCTGGAGACTTTGGTAAGTCTGTGCTACTGGTTAAGTGTTGGGTTTTCTGTCCTTAAGTGAATATATTTTGAATTTGCTGAAGTTGTGCAAGCAGGTGCAGCTGAAGTTCGGCAGCATCCTCTGCTGCTGGAGAGGTTTCACCTAAAGCCAGTTTTGAGAATTGTTAGTGCAAATAGTGATTACATGTATCTGGCAGCTTCCTGAGAATGGAGCTGGTCTTGCTTTTTCAATTGCAGGCAAGCTTCTAAAAGCCTCTTAAGTTGTCTTTTTAGAACTAGATATTTTAAATTTTTTTTCTCTTTTTCTTAAAGTCATCTCAGGCTGAAGATTTCCTTGGATATGCTCCTTGAATTGCGGTGGAAGTTATAGTCTTACAATTTAGAGGATTATTGTGGAGTTTATCCAATGGTTATTATTCTCAATATATGTTGTTTTGAGAAAGTTATACTTCAATGCATTGAATATCTTACATATTTAATTTAATGGGTTGGAAATGTCTTACCAAAAGAATAGTTTGCCTGTTCCGTGGACTGCAGCTGTGTGGCATCTTTTAAAATATCTATAATTGCTGTGTTATCTCCGACACTCACAGAGTTAATGAGCATCGCTCACTGGTATCAGCTAAACACTGTGCTATCAGTAAGGTTTTTCAGAATTTAAAATTAAATACCAGGTTTTCAGGGGGCTCTTTGCACTCTTGCTAACTTTCTTCAGTTTGTTTGTTCGTTCTCATAAATTATTTACGAAAGCAGCGAGGCAAACTTGAAATCCTGTAGTGTTTGGAATTAATAATTTAATGCCCTTGTTTCCTTTTAATCTCCTCTCTGTGCAGTTATGTCCATAGTCACTTTTCTGGTGTTAAATTTTATTAAACAAATCAACAATGAAAGTAAAACTGTCAATAAATAAGTTGCGTAGATCCAGATCTAAATATAATTTCCCTCCGTGGGGCTTTTATCTCGAATTACAGCTTTAAAAACATCTTTACACTGAACATTAATCATATGAAATATTAAGAATTGCTCTCTGGGTTATTAGGAAATACATCTCCCAGTGCAGAGTTGCCTGTGTCCTTAAACCTCAGATTTCCATCCTTATCAGCTTCCAAGTTGCAGATTCATGGAGTTTCTGTCTGCCTGTGACTGTCAAGGTGTTTTTTCATGTCTCTATGATGTGTGCCAGCTCTGAGCCGCTCTGTATTTTGTGAACAGCTTCCCTCTTTTCCTTACTATCCTATTTGACTAGCCTGCCCCGTCAGAGATAACATTTTTGGAATAAACATTCCCACGTTATCGATTACTGTTCCTGACCAGCTTTGGGTCAGGTTTGGGTCCCTTATTCTCTGTCAGTCGGGTTTTCCTCCTCGGTCACTTTCAGATCACGGATGGAGAGATCACACAACAAAGGGGTTCAGAGCAAAAGGGGTGGTAGCTGTTAAAAATGGGACCAGACTCCCATACCTAAAAGTGATTTCAGCATTTATTATAATAAAAAGAAAAGGCCTAAAGAACGGAGGCCCGCAGGCTGAGCAGAAGCGTTCCCATCAAGGATGCTGCAGCACCAGGTTTTCTTCAGCAGCGTTGTCCCCGATGTTCCAGGTGGAATGGCACAGCTTCCCTGGATCAGATGCCCCTTTTTATCCTGTTTTTTGTCCCTTTGGATTGGTTTCTTTTTGGATCCTTCAATGTTTAAGGCGCTTGATTACAGTTCTGTCCAGGCTGGCTCGTTTCACCTGGGGGGAGTGGTGCCCTTTACTTGTGTGTAATACAGTACATTGAGTACTACCATATTTCTTATAAATGCCCATTTAACTCCTTTTACAATAAAACAACCAAACTAACAGTACTTGCTTAACAATTATCAACTATTCTGCAACAGTTTCTAACCTATTTTTAACAGTAGTTGTGGTTCCTCTGGGCTGAGAATCCCAAATAGCCATGGTGTGGCTCTGTGGAAGGTGACTCCACCACTGCCTTGGGCAGCCCCTTCATTCTGGTGCCTGCCAACCCTTCATGGGATTAAATTCATCCCAGTATCCAATCTAAACCTCCCCTTGCCCATCCTGAGGCTGTTCCCTCTGCTCCTGTCCCTGTTCCCTGGAGCACAGCCCGACCCCCCGGCTGTCCCCTCCTGTCAGGAGCTGTCCCCCCTGAGCCTCCTTTTCTCCAGGCTGAGCCCCTTCCCAGCTCCCTCAGCCTCTCCTGGGGCTCCATTCCCTTCCCTGGACATTCCCCAGCCCCTCAGTGTCCCTCTGGCTGTGAGTGCCCAGGGCTGGACACGGCCCTGGAGGGGCCTCAGCAGGGCCAGCCCGGGGACAATCCCTGTCCTGGGCTGTGTCACACCATCAGCCTCGTGTTCAGCCCTGTCACCAGCACTGCCAGGGCCTTTTCCAGCTTCCCAGCTGCTCCTCCCTGAGCCTGCAGTGTCCCATGGGCTTGTTGTGACCCAAGGGCAGGAGCTGGCCCTTGGCCTTGCCGACCCTCGGCCCATGGATGCCTCTGCAGAGCCTTCCTGCCCTCCAGCAGATCCACATCCACCAACTCTGGGTCTGCAACTTCCTGAGGGTGCCTTCCATCCCCTCATCTACATCCTTGATAAAAACAAAAATACTAAACAGAGCTGGGCCCAGTACTGAGCCCTGGGGAACCCCACTGACCACCAGCTGGATTTAATTCTGTTCCCTCCTTTCTGGGCCCAGCCTTCCAGCCATTCACTTTCCAGCCCTTTTTTTGCTTTTCTTGGGTTGAAATAATTCCTATTCTCTGCAGGAGATGGGAAGGAGGAAGAGGGCTTTTTTTTCTGTTCTCTCCCATCACTTATTAGTGATAGAGTGGCACAGATCCCTGGGCATGCTGCAGAATTTGGGGGAAGTAGCTGAGGGCTTCTGCCATGCACAGTAAACAACACTGAGTCAATCATGCTCCCCCTCAACACTAAATGTTTTTCAAAGGATTTTTAAAATAACTCTAACACATAAATATATGTGTCTTTGTAGAAAGCCGTAGTTTTTTACTGCTCTGGGGGCTTGCTCACATCACATTCCATCAATTCTGTTTACTGAAGCTGCAGCTTCCCACTGCCTGTGCCATTCCTACTGTGCTGAGTGCCCCAAGGAAATTTTCACACTTGCTGGTTCCTGGCTCTCAGGAGTTCTGTATTTACAGGGTGATGCTTCAGTGATGCTGTGCCTGGGAGGGGTGCTCTGTGTGCCATGCAGTGGCAGTGTTACCCCAGAGGCAAACCCAGAGCACACAGGCAGGGAAAAGGCAGGAGAGAAAACAGTGGTGGAAGCACAAGTAGGCTCTGAGCTCCCCATGTTCACTGGCTGACAGCTTTTCTTTCAGGAAAAGGCCTTTTCCAATATTATTCACAGAGTAGCGTGAAGGGAATTTAAATATTTGTATTAGAATAAATATGATTTTGTTTTCTGTGCTTTGCTGCAAGTTCAGTGATGCTCCTTCAAAGACAGTGACTTCAACACAGGGATCTGCTTTGGAGGGCAATTGAAATGTGTTTGCTTCTACAGGTCACTTCCCAAATTTTGGATCCAATATCCTTTAAATCCACTTGCTCTTCGGTTTGCATGTGTTGACTGTTCGTGTTCCAGGAGTGGGGTCAGTGGTGGGTGCTGCTCCTCTAATCTCCTGGGGTCCTGCTGGGCAAACTGCTTTAACACTGCACTTTTTCCTCTGTGCCTGAAGTGTTTCTTCTTAATATCCCCTTTAATTTGCAAATTAAGGACTGTTCATATATATATATATATAAGCCTGAGCTTATTTATCAGAGACAAAAGAGTTAAAATATGGGAATGAACTGAATGGGATGGCACTTAAGGTATGTTCCTTTCTCAAAAGATGTTGACTTGGAGTTCTTTTGGAGAGGGGAAAGATAAAAGAAAGTCTCTTTGTGGTATGAAATAATAGAAAATATTTTTTCTGTATTTTTGCTTCACACTTTAAGAATAATCTCCTTCCTGATTCTTTATGCTGGATTCAAATAACCTCTTCCTTGCCTTGCTAGGGCACAAAGTGCCCTTGCTGTTGTCTGGCTCTCCTCCATCTCCCCCTCTCCCATGCCTTTCCAGGTTTCCATGGGCAGCATGAGGCACCGAAGAAATGGCAATTTTGAGAGTTCCAGGCTGCTCTATTCCAGCATGTCTCGCAGCATCGACATGGCCTGCAGTGATGCTGTGAGTACCTGGTGCACACTGGGGTCCATGGTGGTGATGAATTCAGTCAGGCCAGGAGCAGGGTGATGATGGATTTGTCCTTTTCCCCTTCATGGAGACACTTTCCTAACAGTGACCTTCGAGCAGCAGCTGACAGGGTGAAACCCCAAGGGTGTATTGCCTTCCTTTAGAGCCCCGTAGCTCTTTATTGTGCTTTCTTCATCACTTCTGGTTTTAAACCCTTTCCCACGTTGCAGCAAGAGACAAATTTGTCTGTGTAAAGAACCTCCCCAAGCTCTTCTCGCAGCTTCCTGGCCAAGGCAGCCAGCATATGGTTATGTTAAACATCCTTTCATGCCTGAAAGATTGCTGATTCCAGCAATTTTGTGGCAGATTCCCTGCTCCTGATGGGTTTGCAGAAGGCCTTAATGGCTGATTCTTAGGACTTCAGCAAGTGCTTCCCCCCCTCCTTTTATTTTTTTGGTCTTGCAGGTTGTGACTTTTACTGGTTGAATGCATTCCCTTCCATTTTCCTTGTTTTGGATATAATGTTTGTAATGTTTTTTCTGCTTGGAATAACCTCTACCTGCTGTTTAACCACAAGTGTTGTGTCAAACGGGTAAACTGAACTGTGGCTGCCTGTCTTCCCTTTGTGTCCCAGCCCTGCAAATCTAAGCTGTACTTAAAAGCAAACAAACAAACAAAGCAAAACAAAACAAAACAAAACAAAAAAAAAACAACAACAACAAAAAAAAAAACATACAAAAAAACCCAAACAAACAAACAAAAAAACCACAAACAAAAAAACCAAAAAAACCCCAAACCCAACACGTCATCAGCAAGTGAGAATTTCTCTTTGCTTTCTTAGCTGGCAGAGGCAGCTTAGGGATGAATTTGCATCCCCCGAGCGTGAAAGCTTCTCCGGGGAGTTTCAAGGTTAATAGCAGAGTTAATGGTTAAACAAGCTGGAGAGACTTCGCATTCCACTGAGCTCCCATAAAGGAGAACTTGAAGTTGTTCTGGACTCCTGCTGGGGTCTTTGTGTGTTGAACTAAAACAGCCCCTGCCCTAAAGAACGTTACTATCTTCCCTTTTTTATCTTCATATTTTTTACTATGGAAGAATGTTTGCCATAATGTTTTAAGCAGTATCTTTGTGTTCACACTGACTGTGCTGTTGCTGAGGTAATTTCTGTTTCGTGAGTTATCAGAAATAAACTTCTAAAAATTATTTTCCAGGATTTGGCCAACTTCATCCAAGAAAACTTCAAGAAGAGAGAATGTGTCTTTTTTACAAAAGACACCAAGTCCATGTAAGGAGATACTTTTATCTTGTTTTTCAAGATGGGGCTGGTAGATGAGGGTATTTCTGTCTGCAAAGGCAGGGAGAAAAGTTTTGGGGTTTTTTGTTCAGAGCCTGGATCTGGCAGTTCAGTCTCACCTCAGTCCCCTTGTCTGAGTTACTCCACAAGTAACTTGATGCAAAACTAGGGATCTCATCTTCCAGCAGCTCTGTCACAGGGTTTAATATAAAATTCCCCATTTGAAGCATAACTGGGGCAATAGGATGCTTGAAGGCTGCAGCACTGGTACTGGTGTCTGACAAGGTGTATGCATCAGAAGATTGCATAATTTACATTTTCCTTTTAAACCCAAATCACAAATTTCATGCAGAAATATTACACAGGCACTAGATTTTGCTCAGGCTGATGCTCTCTTAAGACAGGGCATTAAACTGGCTCCATTTTCAGGCACAGGTACCAGTGCAGTGCTAGTTTGAGGACCATAATGTTGCTTTTTGGTTTTGGGGTGGTTTTTTTTGGTCTCAGGAGAAAAGTGATCAAACTAATATAGCTGCAGAAATCCTAATATTGAGCTCTGAATGGTCTCTCACCCCACTCTTCTCTGAAGCTGGGAGGAAAAATGCCTCAGAGAGGGAGGGAAATTAGTCTCATTTCAGAAAGTCTCACTCAGGGTCCTCCTCTGCCACCAAAAATGGGATGCCTGGCAAGGCACCAACAATGGATGGAGGAGCTGGTTCTTATCAGCCTCTCTTCCTGCAAGCCCTCTGGGAGAGGACTGCAGAACTTGCTGGGTTATTTTTGTCTAGATATTTTTAAGGTGAGCTGGTTTCATTTGCAAGGTACAGCAGAGTAAAAAGAAACCTTTCTAAAGGAGAAACCTTTCTCTGTGTCCTCTGAGGAAGCAGGAATGTGGGCTGTGGAGAGGACCTTTAAAATCAAGTCAGCCCAGCACCACCACCAAGCCACGTCCTCAAGTGCCACATCCACGTGATTTTGGAATACTTGTAGGGATGGTGGCTCCACCACAACCCTGGGCAGCCTGTACCAATGCCTGACAGCCCTTTCCATGCAAGTTTTTCCCCCTGATATCCAATCTGAACCTGCCCTGGCACAACTTGAGGCCTTTTCCTCTTGTCCTGTCACCTGGGAGAGGAGATGCAGTGAACTCATCCTGTGTCTTTAAGAGCACAAAAAGGGGAAGAAACCCCTCAGCACAGCCTGGTTCCCGAGCTGTGTTCCACTTCCCAGTGCTGGCAGAAGCAGATTTTGGGGGAGGAAGCAGGATGAGGTGCTGCTCTGCTCTGTCAGGTGGTAAATCCCAGTTGAGTCCCACACACAACTGGCTCTGTAGCTCCACCTGCTGCTTTTCTTGCTGGCAGAGCTTGCTTTTCTGTGCTCAGGATTCCTCAGGGGTCTTGTGCCTTATTCCCTCTTCTTTCAGGGGTAACTTATGTAAATGTGGATACCCTGAAAATCAGCACATAGAGGGCACCCAGGTTAACACCACTGAAAAATGGAACTACAAGAAGCACACCAAGGAGTTTCCTACTGATGCCTTCGGGGACATTCAGTTTGAAAACCTGGGAAAAAAAGGAGCAGGATGAGGTGCTGCTCTGCTCTGTCAGGTGGTAAATCCCAGTTGAGTCCCACACACAACTGGCTCTGTAGCTCCACCTGCTGCTTTTCTTGCTGGCAGAGCTTGCTTTTCTGTGCTCAGGATTCCTCAGGGATGTCTATTCCCTCTTCTTTCAGGGGTAACTTATGTAAATGTGGATACCCTGAAAATCAGCACATAGAGGGCACCCAGGTTAACACCACTGAAAAATGGAACTACAAGAAGCACACCAAGGAGTTTCCTACTGATGCCTTCGGGGACATTCAGTTTGAAAACCTGGGAAAAAAAGGAAAGGTAAGTGGAAATATTAAGGATATTCATGAGGCCCTGTTGAGTACCAATGGGAGCTCCTCAAAAGCAGGGATGGGCAAATGGATTTTATTCTAATGGCAGGAGATAAGCTACAAGGGACACAGGCTTGTCTTTTCAAGCCCTGAAAATAGGTAACAAAGGATAATTCCTTCTGTGTCTCTTGTTGGTTAGGCTGGTCATGGGAGTGAAAAGAGATTATCTCTTTCCAGGCATGGCAGGAGAATGGGTGAATGAGAGTGAATGATATAAAATAATCCCTGAATTATTTTATATCCACGTAGACCAGCTTGCTCAGGCCTATAAACAATTGAATATTGAATATTTCCCAGGGTGGAGAGTTCTGGAGGGATGTAAGATGTCTGTGGAAGTTCAAAAGTTTTATTTAATTTGTTGGGGGTTTTTTTTCCTTATGTCCTTGCTTGGAGTGGGGACAGTGGAGGTGTGAGAAGAAGAAAATAGCTGCTGTTGCTGTTTCTGGTGATTTTTACTGATGCTTGTGAGGAGTCACATGTGGCTGAGCTCATCTGCCTCCTCTAATTGGCTGATACTTAACACCAGTGCAGGTTGCTTGGGACAGTCAAAATAAATGAGGAAAATCAGAGCCTGCTGTGTAAATGAATTTGGTTTGTTTTATGCAAAGTAGCAGACATAAGAGGCACTTGAGTGGGAAATGAGAACAAAAGTTTCAAATCACCCTTAAACAAATCCATGTATTTCACATAATTTTTTATATGCACGTTTTAGCTTTGTATTACTTTGTTGTAAGCTGCTGTGTGACTGTACTGGAACAAAAAGTGCTTTGCTCTGTTGCAATACTTCAGACTTCTCAAAGGTTAAATGTACTTTCCTTAGGTTGTGTCTTCCCCACTTCCAGCTTTGGGAATCAGTTCATGTGCCCTCAGTGGTTTCATGTGGACTCTCAAGGCCACTGTGCATATTTCAGAGCATACTTTGTTCAAGCACTGCATATAGGTCTCCTTGTCCATCCCATTGGAGTGTTGGCTGGAATCACATCTTAATTCCCTGTTCTTATTCCCTACACAGCAAGGCACCTGCTGCTCCTGAAGATTGCCAAGTATTTTCTGTTGATGCACAGCAGGGAGGACTTCAAACTCAGGGTGACCTGAGAATTGCTGTCAATTATCAGTGAGGGATGGAAAGTTTTATACCCTGCATTGTGCTTTTTAGGACACATGAGATGTGAACAAACCAATGAAGAGGTTTGAGGACAGGCTGGGAGAGATGGGGGGGCTCACCTGGGCAAGAAATGAGACTAAAGCTTTAAGCTCCCTTTCCAGCCCAAACCACTCTGGGATTCTATAAAATCTCACCCTGTGTCAGTCCAGCTTTTGAGCTCTTCGTTTCTGCCGTGCTGCTCAGACCCTGTAGCACCCACGAGCATCTCAGTCACTGCATTTAATGATTTAATGTTCTGGGAGCCCAAGCCCCAGAAAGGCTTCCTGAATCGCAGCCCTGGTCTGGGAGCAGCATCCAGCAGCACCACGAGATGGCATCCTTGTACTTCGGAGGAGGGAGGTGGGAGTCGAGGAGTTCACGGCTGCATGGAGCTCACAGGTTGGCTGTGGGCAGGGCTGACTCCAGGTTGTTCTCCTGGTAGCTCCCCCCTCTCCTGTAGGGGATCCTCTCCAGGAAAACGCCCAAAGCTTCATGTGACTGAAGGGCAGAAGCTGTGGGAGTCCCTTAGCTCTCCTGTGTAGCTGCTGGAGCCTGCTCAGCATCCTCTGTGATGCCCTAAATGCTTTAACTCCTTCTGGCAACCTGTCTTGGAGCACATGAATATTTTTATTCAAGTTCAGTGTCTCTTAGGTGGAGACATTTCCTTCTTGAAGTAGTCCTTTCATTTTGCTCTCCTGCAAGTACTGGGCAATTTATACAAAATCCTCTATGCTTTCAGGTCCAAGCTACTCCTTTTCATCTCCTGATTTGGCTTGTGCAGCCATGAATGTCGTCCAAAAGTGATGAAACTGTGAAGGGGCTTTTGAATAGCAAAGCAAGACAAGGCCAGAGAAGCTTTTACATAAATGGAGACATGTTAAGTCCACCTGAAGCCAGATTATCTCTCTTAAGTGCTTTTTGACATCTTTGTAGAGCATTCAAGCTTTACTACAAACTGTGTGCTTGTTTTGTCTCGTACTTGAAGCACTGGAGTGGGTATGTGTTGTGATAGGGACACCTCTCACACGGAGCCTGGAATTTGTTTGAATAGTGCAATCAAAATACAGCAGTCATTATTATTAGTTCACTTGCAACGACGCTGCCTGATTCATAATCTAAGCTTTAAATAGCACTGCTGGAATTAGTTGTTGTAGTGGTGGTGTGTTCATCCTTGCAGAGTTCCTCTGAAGCCCAAGGTCGCTGCTCTTGCCTTCTCCAGAGGAATCTGGGTTGGGTGCCTGGTTGTAGGGGAAGGATAAAGGTGTTTCAGAGGAAGAAACGAGGATTTCATCCTCACCTTGCCTTTCATCTCCTGGCTGTTGGAACGAGGCTGTGCAGCAGAGAAGAAAACGCAATCCCTGGGTTGTCCCCAGCCACCTCAACTTATCTCCTCCTATGTTTGTTCTCCTATTTTCTCTCCCCAAGTACATCCGCCTGTCGTGTGACACAGACTCTGAGACACTCTACGACCTCATGACCCAGCACTGGCACCTGAAGACCCCAAACCTCGTCATCTCCGTCACCGGCGGCGCCAAGAACTTCGCGCTCAAGCCCCGCATGCGCAAGATATTCAGCAGGCTGATCTACATCGCCCAGTCCAAGGGTGAGCACCTGCTCCTGTGCCTCTGCCACGTCATTGCTGCAGGGGTAGCAGCTCAAGGGGTCTGTGGGGGAGCAGAGCGTTCATTTGGCTGCTGCACGTGTGGCATTAATGGTTTGGAAGTAACCAAGGAGGGGGATTTAGTCAGGGGTGCCTGTGATAACGTAAGGTGAGTTGTGTAGCATCTCTTTTGTGCTTAATGGAAGAGCCAGCCCCCCAGGTCACAAAAGGGGTTTGGGTTTTGTCTTTGATGCTGTGGGAGGGCGGGTGTTTGGCTGTGTTTCTCAAGTGACTGGTGTTGTTCCAGGAGCCTGGATTTTCACCGGGGGGACGCACTACCGTGGGAGGGTGGCTGTTTGGCTGTGTTCCCCCAGGTGACTGGTGTTGTTCCAGGAGCCTGGATTTTCACCGGGGGGACGCACTACGGGCTGATGAAGTACATTGGGGAGGTGGTCAGAGACAACACCATCAGCCGCAGCTCCGAGGAGAACGTGGTGGCCATTGGCATCGCAGCCTGGGGCATGATCTCCAACCGGGAAACCCTCATCCGCACGGCCGACAGCGACGTAAGGAGCTGGGCTCAGGGCTCAGTCATTCACGGGCTTAAGGTTGGACAAACTGGGACTCCTAAGATCATGTCCAGCTGTCAGCCCAGCGCTGCCACCACATTCACAATTAAACCACGTCCTCAAGTGCTGCATGGATGGGTTGGCAGGGAAAGAAAGGAGGCTCGGCCTCAAAACGTCAGGAGCTCTTCCCAGAACAGGGGGAAAGTAAAATGTTCTCATGCCTGAGTTAGTCCCACACATCAGGCCTGGTGAGGAGGCTTTCAGCTGTGCCAGATTTTGGCATGTCTGTGTGGGAGTTCAGCTGCTCTAACTCCATGTCTGGCATTGCTTTAGGGAATAACTACTGCCGTGGTTATTCTAGCTCTGAAATCCCCATGCACTCCCCCACAGGAGGGGTTCCTATGAGCTAAGGCACATGGCACCTGCTCCTATTTGGGATTTTCATTGACACTGCCATCCCACCTGTCAGATGCACCAGGGTAGCCCCGCCTTGTCTCTTGCCCACCAAACATGACAGAACACATCTAAAAAATTGTCCCACCACCCAAATATTTTGGGGGGGCACCCAAATAAGGTGGGCATATCCTTGAATCTGAATATCAAACACTGTGTGTGCCCCTAGGGGAGCTACTTGGCCCGCTACATCATGGATGACCTGAAGAGAGACCCCCTGTACTGCCTGGATAACAACCACACCCATCTCCTGCTGGTTGACAACGGCACCCACGGGCACCCCACCATCGAGGCCAAAGTGAGGACCCAGCTGGAGAAGTACATTTCAGAGCGGGTCATCCCAGGTATCCTCCTCCTCCTGCCCTTGCATGCTTTGGGGCTGACCCACAGTGATTTTCTTGGAACAAGAAAGTAGTGGCAGCACCCTGTGGCGGCTGAGCTGGAAGGTGTGTGTGAACTGCAATGCATCTGGAGCTCTTTCAGGAGCAGCACCTTCCCCCATCTTCCTTTCTGTATGTCCTTTGTGTCACAGCAAATGCTTCATTTCAGCCACACAGCCCTCCCCTCCTTTCCTCTTAAAAGCTGGCCCTTCTATATCACTCCCACCTGTCACTGAATGCCAGGTAGCTGGAGCACAATTACGCAGGAACTGAAATTAGGCTTTTCCCAAAATATTTATTTATGAGGGTGATTGAGCTGCCTGCAACCTGCTGCTAAATAATTTCTCTTTCGCCCCCTTCTTTACCAAAACAACAACAACAAAAAAGGAAATCAAGACCTTAGCAGGAAATCCTTAAAAAACTTTTCACCGTGTTGTTGTTTAGGTTTGGTTCTTTTGGGTTTTTTTTGGAATGTCTCTCAAACACTAGCTCCCGGAGTTACGGAATTCTTACCTTTCTTTTACAATTGGAAATGTGAACTCAGGTTCTGTATCTTCAGTTTGTGAGAAGAACCTTTCACTGAGACTCAAAATAGTCAAAGGAGCGGATAAATGCAATAAATTTCCATTTTATGGGCTTCAGAGATAGCTAAAATTAGGATTTTTAGAAGGGAAAAGTTTCTGTTGGAGAAGGGTGTCTGAAGTCAGCTATGCAAAATGTTAGGCAAAACTGAGTTTTCATTAAAAACATCTGTTAATAACTGGCAAAATCAGCAGCAAAGTAGTATTTGAATGAATGGCTTGGAGATTCTTTCATTGTACTCAGGAAAAATAAGTTCTTCAAACTGTATTAATTGATTTAATCTTTTTTCTTTTGACGTATTTCACAGAATCTAATTACGGTGGGAAGATCCCAATTGTGTGTTTTGCCCAAGGTGGTGGGAAGGAGACTTTGAAAGTAAGTTCATTTATTTTATTTATTTCCAGGAATGACAATAGGGGCATTGCTCTAATATTGAAGACTGATTGCTCCAAAAGAAACTCGATAAAGTAGACACTGCTGTTATTTACAGAACCTTGCCTTGCACTTGCTACAGGAGGACCTTGTTTGCAATTTAACCTTTTGAAGTTTGTTTTTGTTTAAATTTCTGTGCAAAGTTTCTGCCTTGGGCTGACATCCTGGAAAAGTATTGGCTGGGACAGTTCAGTTGTCTCAGTTCTTCCACACCACAGAATGTGAAGGGACATTAAAGACCATCCATTTCCATCCCCTGCTGTGGGCAGGGACACCTTCCACTATCCCAGGTTGCTCCAAGCCCCATCCAGCCCAGCCTTGGACACTTCCAGGGATCCAGGGGAGTCACAGCTTCTCTGGGCACCCTGTGCCAGGGCCTCTCACCCTCACAGTCAATCATTTCCTCCTAATGTAAATATAAATTTCTCCCTTTGTAGTTTAAACCCATACCCTCTTGTCCTGTCACTATCTACTCATGTAAAAAGTTTCTCTCTCTGTTTCTTATAAGCCCCTTTAAGTACTGAAAGGCTGAATTTTAAATGCAGTTTAGATCTAGACCTGGTTTAAGTCTTGGCAGCTGAGCAGGGCAGGAGGGCTCTGCTGACTCTGACCCTTCCAAGGCTACATGGGGAAGGACCAGGCATCATCCTCAAACAGATGACAGGCAGGAGGCTGAACAGTTCCTTGAAACAGGATGTGTGACACTGAGGGGAGGGGGAAAGGGAGATGGCTTCTAAGTCTCTCTCAGCGTTAAAAACCAGGGCTGTTACTTGCCCATTCGGCAGGAGGCTGAACAGAGCAAAGAAGTTCCTTGAAACAGGATGTCTAAGTGACACTGAGGGGAGGGTGAAAGGGAGATGGCTTCTAAGTCTCTCTCAGCGTTAAAAACCAGGGCTGTTACTTGCCCATTCCCCTCACCAGAGGAGGATGAGTGGCCTGAGGGAGCAAAGGGACCTGACCCAGGGTTTTCAGAGTGAGGGGATGTGGGAAGGGAACAGGAACAGAGCGTTAAAAACCAGGGCTGTTACTTGCCCATTCACCTTGCCAGAGGGATCATGAGTGGCCTGAGGGAGCAAAGGGACCTGACCCAGGGTTTTCAGAGTGAGGGGATGTGGGAAGGGAACAGGAACAGTGAGGACGAGCTCTGACCAGCCACAGGAAGAGCTGGTTTAGCTTGTACAGAGAGCTGGGAAAAGGGCTGGATTTTTCAAGAGAGTAGGATGCAGCAAAAATAAGTTGAAGCAGCATTATATTTATGATTTTGTTTTTGTAGACGTTACCTTGGTACTTCCTGTTCTCACCAGAGCTGTGCTGTTACTGTCGAGGTTGATCAAACTACTTGGCTTGTCAGGAGGATAAGCAATGTCACTTCAAAGCATGATCTCTGCTACCACTTTGTTGCTGGTGTTAATCAGTTGGTCTGATTCAGTGTGTGAAATTCCAGATTGTTATCCCAGCCTCCCTGTATGTTTTCTGGGAGTTTGGTTCCATTCACATGATGAATTTTGTATTTGCCCAGCTGTAGATGAATGCAGATGCAGTGTTAATCAGAGGTCCTGACATGAATTACAGCATCCAGTCAGGTTTTGGAGGAAAGCCGTGCTCAGAGGGTTGTGTTGAATACATCCATTTCCTCTTAGCTCCAAATTGCTAGTGGTTGAGAAAGGATTTGGCCATCACTGAAGGAGCTGACAGACTGCTAGGTGCTGTATTTGTGCAGACTTATTTCACTTTTTTTGGAGAGACCTCAAACCCACTGTTAAGCAGTGATACATCACACAGACTTAGTAGCTGCCTAACCAGAATAAGTAACAGCCTTGTTAAATCAAATGCATAATTCCTGGCAAGAGTCTCCTCTGGGAAGTGCCTAGATGATGGTTCAGTTCAGGGTTCTTCATGCCACTCTCTTGGCTATTTCACAGGATCATGATAACATTGAAGTTGGAAAAGATCTCTAAGATCTGGTGGTTAATCTAGCACCATTATCACGTTCACCACCAAACCTTGTCCTCGGGTGCTACATCCACACATTTTTTGGAATCTTCAGGGATGATGACTTCCTTTAGCAGCCTGTTCCAGTCCTTGACATCCCTTTCAGTGAATAATTTTTAGTGATATCCAACCTAAACCTCTCCTGGTGCAACTTGAGGCTGGTTTATGCCACGCTGAGTTTTTATTTCTCAGTGTTGGAAGTGCACTGAGATATTCTGAGGTGAAGCCTTTTTTCAAGGAGCAAATTGAGTCACTGACCAGCCCAGGAGACTCAGCAGAGTCCATGCTGTGGATGTCTGTCCTTGCCATGCCTTGGTCCTAGCAGTGCTAGGAACAAAATTCCCCCTTTCTCAGCTTCTGTGACTGGTGCACGATGACAAGAATCAGCATTAGTGAGGGAGAAGTAAAACTGCTCCAAGCTTCTGTTTGAAATTTCCCTGTGATGTAAGACATGCACTTTAGTTGAACCCTTCTTTAGAAAACCACTTTCATCTAGCTGATAAGAAAAGCCTCCTTGCCTTTGTCAGAGACCTGCTCTCCAGTTGACAGGAGGAATGTGTGCACGGTTTTGATGACTGAGTTGATTTTTTTTGTTTCTTTGTTCTCAAGAAGCTCTCTTAATAGATGTTCTGTCTTTCCAGTGCTTGGTAATAACTCCCTTTGTACAATTTGCTGGCAGCCAGCTAATGCTGTGACTCTGTTCTCAGTGTAATGATGCAAATGAAATCAGTGTCTCCTATGGTCTTTGCACCAGGAGGGTTAATGGTCCTTCCAGCATGATTTCAGCAGATCTTTGTCTTGACATTAATCCATGTTTGTTCTCAAGAAACTCTCTTAACTAATAGATGTTCTGTCTTTCCAGTGCTTGGTAATAACTCCCTTTGTACAATTTGCTGGCAGCCAGCTAATGCTGTGACTCTGTTCTCAGTGTAATGATGCAAATGAAATCAGTGTCTCCTATGGTCTTTGCACCAGGAGGGTTAATGGTCCTTCCAGCATGATTTCAGCAGATCTTTGTCTTGACATTAATCCATGTACAATGTTGCTGTGTGAGAAATCATGTAAATGGCTACTTAGAGACTTTAAGTAATATTAGAGTTTGATGTTCTTGTGATGCTATGATAACTTGCATCGACTCCCTTTGTACAATTTGCTGGCAGCCAGCTAATGCTGTGACTCTGTTCTCAGTGTAATGATGCAAATGAAATCAGTGTCTCCTATGGTCTTTGCACCAGGAGGGTTAATGGTCCTTCCAGCATGATTTCAGCAGATCTTTGTCTTGACATTAATCCATGTACAATGTTGCTGTGTGAGAAATCATGTAAATGGCTACTTAGAGACTTTAAGTAATATTAGAGTTTGATGTTCTTGTGATGCTATAGAAGTGCTCTCTCTGTAAAACACTGCTGCTGCCTCCAGCAAATAAATCCAGAGCCCTTGGTCCCAGCTGAGCAATGCTGTGCCATAAAGCAGCAGTGACTGTAGCTGGGCAGCACTGTTGTGTGACCTGAATGCCATTTCCACTTGGCATTATCTTGATCTGCTGATCCACTCTAAAGCTGAGCAGCCTGGCCTAGTGGAAGGTGTCACTGCCATGGCAGGGGTGGGAACAAGATGTGCTTTGAGGTCCCTCCCAACACAAATTGTTGTGTGATTCTGTGAAAATTTGGCAGATGGTGATTTCTGACCCTCGGTCTCTCTGGGGCTCTTCACAGCCCTGTCTCATTCGATGATGATTCTTTAAAGAGTTGTCACAGGTAATGTATCAGTTGATAATAATAAAAATACTGCTGTGGCCCGTGGGTTTCTGTTGTTCTCTAGGCTTCCTTACTCAATAGCAGGCTCTAGTAACAGTCATGCTTCAAGTGCTCTCCTCTGCCTCTGTCTCCTCAGTCCATCAACGTGGCCATCAAGAGCAAGATTCCCTGTGTGGTGGTGGAGGGCTCCGGGCGCATTGCTGATGTCATTGCCAGCCTGGTGGAGGCTGAGGGCACTCTTGCTTCCTCCTGTGTCAAGGAGAGCTTGCTCAGGTTCCTGCCTCGCACCATTTCCAGGCTCTCAGAAGAGGAGACTGAGAGCTGGATCAAGTGGGTGAGTGTGGGAGGAGGCTGGAGGGAGCAGCTGCTGGCTCCCAGGTCAGGGCTGTTGCTATCTGGTGATACCTGCAGGGTGTGCAGGGCTCCCTGCCATGTTACATCTGTGCAGATGTAAAAAAGGAAAAGTCTCCATCTACAGGGATTGGAACAAAAGCATTGGGGTGGCTGCAGTCAAGTCAGCAGGTGTCTGGTCACAGGAAAGCTAAGAAGGTTCCAGAAGGGTCTCTTCCCTGTGGAGCGTGGAGCTGCTGAAGGCAGTGTTCCCTGTCTGGCCACACTCCTCACAGCTTCTGCTGGGCTGCCCTGGAGTGTACCTCCTCCTGCATCAGAAATGGGAAAGATTATTTGTCTTCTATGTGCCTAAGATGAAATTAACTCTACAAAGCTTCACTATGAGAGAAATTTCCTGGCTTTGACAAAGCACAAGGAGCTAGAGACTGTTCTCTAACAAACTGCTTGACATAAGTTGAAACTTGTGCTGTCACAATCTTTTCTACTTTAGGAGTCACTTCTAATTACTGAGATTATATCTTCTTGTTAAAGATGATCTGCATAGGGAAATCACAGTTATTTGCTGTATGTTCAGAGGATAATTAATGTTGTCCTTTGGTGACTTTGAAATCAAGCTCATTATCAACTTCTATTTGGGTTTGTTTAAATTTGTTAAAACTCGGGACTGATGAGAAACAGCTTTGCTATGATGTGGTGGCAAATTTCTTTTTAATAGGAGATCTGTTACTAAACAGCCTTGATAGCTTTGAAACACCGCTTTTCTTTTTTTTTTTTTATGTAGATCAAAGAAGTCCTTGAGAGCCCTCATTTACTGACAGTGATCAAAATAGAAGAAGCTGGGGATGAAATTGTGAGCAATGCCATTTCCTTTGCCCTGTACAAAGGCAAGTAATTGTTTTTCTGAGTTTGTTTGGGGATTTAAAAATAAACGGAAAAAGGATGGCTATTTATTCTCTAGAACAGGTTTCTTTAGAGCAGTGCCATCTCTCTAGAGCTAAGCTCCTGCCACAGTGTGGAGCCTGCCTTGCTCTGAAGGGGTGTGGGCAGGCTACAGCAGCAGTATGGGATCTCTCAGTGTGGGAAAGATCCAAACCAGGTAATTGGGAAGGCATTTTGGAGAGCCCTGGGGGTGCTGACAGGGCCCCACTGGGAATCCTGCAGAATCTCTCTTGTATAGAGGGTAGGAGGAGCCTGTATGAGAGTATGAGTCCCTTGTGTGAGGGACTCTGAGGAGCCTGAAGGAAGCATTGTGTTGATCTTGGTCATGAGGTCCTCCTGGCAGCTCCTTTGTGGCCTGTCTTGGACCATAAATACATTCCTGAGCATCCTGCCCCGAGCTGGGAAGATGTGCATGGGTGTGGGGCAAGCCCCGTGGAAGGAGTCTTGTCCTGGTGGTGTGAGAGGCAGAGATGATAAACATGCCTGACCCAGAGGTTGTTGCTGCTCTGCAGCTTTCAGCACCAACGAGCACGACAGGGACAACTGGAACGGGCAGCTGAAGCTGCTGCTGGAGTGGAACCAGCTGGACCTGGCCAGCGATGAGATCTTCACCAACGACCGGAACTGGGAGGTACAGCCCCGCGCTGAGTGAGTGCCGGGAGCTCTGGGGAGGGACACAGCCCAACGGGAGCCACTCTCCCAGCACCTCTGCCTCTGTGCTGAGAGTGTCTACTGCTCCTGCACTGTCACATTCCATTCAGCCTGGAGAAGAGGAGGTCAGGCCTCCTTGGGAGCTTCCTCACAAGGGGCAGCTCCAATCTCTGCTCTCTGTGACAGGGACAGGACCCAGGGAGTGGCTGGAGCTGTGTCAGGGGAGGGTCAGGTGGGATATCAGGAAAAGGTTCTTCCCCCAGAGGGTGCTGGGCACAGCCCCAGGCTGCCAGAGCCCAAGGGACATTTGAACAATGCTCTCAGGGATGCACAGGGTGGGATTGTTGGGGTGTCTGTGCAGGGCCAGGGGTTGGACTGGATGATCCTTGCAGGTCCTTTGCAACTCAGGGTATTCCATCCATAAATGATCATTTTGGATCATTCCGAAATGATCCATCATTCCATGATGATCCATTGTTTGATCAGTGGTTGCAAAGGTGATCTGCCTATGCCAGAAATGCTCTGGGCCATCCAGCCACAGCAACTGTGTACAGAAAAAAAACCTAATTCTGATGAAAACATGACAGTGACCATGTGTCAGGCCTTAGATAAGACATACATGTCTCACATGATCCCTAACTTTTGCTTTTCCATTTCTTCCTAGTCTGCTGACCTGCAGGATGTGATGTTCACAGCCCTGGTGAAAGACAGGCCCAAATTTGTCCGGCTCTTCCTGGAGAACGGCTTGAATCTGCGCAAGTTCCTGACCACAGAGGTCCTGAGGGAGCTGTACACCAACAACTTCAGCAGCCTGGTGTTCAAGAACCTGCAGATTGCCAAGAACTCCTACAATGATGCCCTCCTCACCTTTGTTTGGAAGATGGTGGAGGATTTCCGGAGAGGTTTCAAAAGATATTACAAAACCAGCAAGGATGAGATGGAGATACAGCTCTCAGTGAGTGATGAGCAGTTTGACCCTGCTGTGAGGGAGGTTATCTGGACTGCAGTGGTTAAAGCAGGAAGTGCCTTTTACACAAATATTCTTTAGTACCAGCTTCAGGAAAAACAGGGAGGCTGATTCTTCCTTGTCAAATACAAGGCTTCACCCGAAATATCAAATGTAACCTAACTCACAGCAGTGTGTGACAAGTGGCAGAGAGCTGAGAGAAGGGATTGGTGAGGTGGCTGTGAAACAAAGAAAATACAAAAACAGGAGAGTCCCTGCTCAGATTTGTTCCAGTTGAAAATATTTGGTGAGCTTAGGTCTGAGTTCTTGCTCTCTCTTTCAGGAGGAATGTCCTATCACAAGGCACCCATTGCAAGCTCTGTTTATTTGGTCGGTTCTTCAGAACAAGAAGGAGTTGTCCAAAGTAATTTGGGAGCAAGTGAGTTGAGTTCTCCTTTATTTCTCTTTGCAGGCAGTGCAGTGTGGTTCTGTGTCTTTAGTTTATTGGCCTTTGAAGGCTCCACATCCAGCTTCAAACACACCACCACAAGAGATAACTGCTAGTTAATGACTCTCAGTAGGTTTTATATTGTCCAGTTTATGTCTGGGTGTGGACTTCATACTTTTGTTTCCTAAGGCTGTGTGTGAGTCAGCAGTCCACATCCATTGTGTGTTATCACCTTTGCCTAATCTGGGATACTGAGTTCCCACCCATTCCACAGCATGGATGGGTTCTGATTCCAGGTGTTTGATTGCAATCCAACTTCTAATTTGGATTAGACAGTAATTTAATGACTGTAGAATCAAATAGATAATTCTGGACTGGGACCTGAGAAGGTGCAAAATGGAGGAGAGTTTTTAAAGATTCCACCTGGTGTAGTAGAAGGTGTCCCTGCCTGTGGCAGGGGGTTGGGATGAGATGGTCTTTAAGGTCCTTTCCAACCCAAATCATTGTGGTTTCAGGATTCTATGGTCATGTTCCCTTCTCAGAGGGATTTGCATGACTTCACTCTCTCTCTACAGACCAGAGGCTGCACTTTGGCAGCCCTGGGGGCCAGTAAGCTCCTGAAAAGCATGGCCAAGGTGAAGAATGATATAAATGCTGCTGGCGAGTCTGAGGAACTGGCTAATGAGTATGAGACAAGAGCAGTAGGTAAGTGCCTGCTCTGTGAGTCCTTTAGAAATTTAGTGGGAAGGGTCAGAGACCAGGGAATTAAAAACTAGATACCCAACATTAAACACATTTTTCTTTTATGTCAACATGTGATTTTACTGCTAAGAAAATCCTTCCACATTGTTTGTTCCCAGTAGAAATTTTGTGTCCTGTCCTGGCTTCAAAAGGTGGGTTTTGTGAAGTGGATTTTTTTGGGGTGGAGAATTTCTTTCATGGGGAAGAAAAGCTACTTAGCTCCACTGGCAAGGCTGAAGAAGAATGCCCACAAACAGGAAGGAAAATATGGAAAAGGGGAAACTTTCCTAATCAATACTGGTATTATTCAGGTTGGGAAAAAACACCCTTCAGATTTTTGGGAGTACTTTTGGGGAGTGAGAACAAGTTGCAGGTAAAAAGTAGATTGATGGTTGTGTGACTTTATAAGGACCAGCTCAAGGCCACACTGGAAATATCTTGCTTGTTTCCAGAGAGTATCTCTTATTCCACAAAGCAAAAACTGCTTAAACAGACTTTTTTAAAGGTATCTACATCCCTCAGGCCAGGTGATTTAGCAAGACACTAAGGAGTGAACAGTGCATTTCCCAGTGAAAAAGCATCAGATTCTGACTTTTTCAACCCTACTGTTAATTTTGGACTGACTATAATTAATCAGACCTGTGCCAAACAGAATTTAAGAAAAGAGGACGAAGCAAGTAGATTTACTGAATCATTTAAGGAGAAATTCACATTTTTTACTCAATTTTTTAGTGCAGAACTGAATGCTCTCTCTGTGATTTAGTGTTACAGTTTTCCACCCAGGCTCAAATTCTATTGTATTTGTGGGGTGTCCAGTGAAGGGAGGAATGATGAGTCTGACTCCATGTTCTCAGAAGGCTAATTTATTATTTTATTATTTTATTATACCATATTATATTAAAGAATACTAAATGATACTGTACTAAAGAATACAGAAAGGATACTTACAGAAGACTAAAAAGATAATAATGAAAACTTGTGACTCTCTCCAGAGTCAGAGAATGTGAATATGACAAAATTCTGTATCAAAAGCTGAAGACGTGCAAGTGGGGTTGTAAAGGGATGCACAGTCATTCTCCAGTGCTGAAAATGTGAAAAGGGTTCTTTGATACCACAAATATTACACTAAAGATACTTGCACACAAGTTGTTGGGAAATTGAAGCTGGAGCTCAGTGTGCTTCTTTCTTCCAGAGCTGTTCACTGAGTGCTACAGCAACGATGAAGACCTGGCTGAGCAGCTGCTGACTTATTCCTGTGAAGCCTGGGGAGGGAGCAACTGCCTGGAGCTAGCAGTGGAGGCCAGAGACCAGCAGTTTATTGCCCAGCCAGGTGTGCAGGTAATGGCAGGGAAGGGAAGGTGGACAGGTCACTGTACAGGCAGTGCTGGCTCCTCTACCCACAAATGTAAATCAGGAGGGAAAAAAATCTTGGCTTGGGGCTATAAATCATAATGGACTGGGTAATAAAGACTGCCTGGAGTGATTTCTGCTCTTGGCTTGCACAGTGTGGATCTAATGCCAGGCAGGGATGAGCACTGCATATAATGCAATGGTTTATAAGTGTTTTATCAATCAGGTCAAGTCCTGCTCAGCCTCATTTTTAACTCCTCATCACATGGATGGAGCACGGCTGCCTTAAGGAGCCAGCATGCTGTTACTGATGCAGGAAGCTTTCTGTTTTGTTGCAACAAAAATCTCTAGCATTTTGATTGAAATCTCAAAATCTGTGGTTTATTTTTACCAAAGCAAATGTTCTGAAATAGCATTCCTTGGTTATTTTGTTGCTGTTGGAACAAAAGTGGGCGTTTCCTTCTTCCCTGCAGAATTTCCTTTCCAAGCAGTGGTATGGAGAGATTTCAAGAGACACTAAGAACTGGAAGATTATACTGTGCCTGTTCTTTTTCCCTTTAATAGGCTGTGGTTTCATCTCATTCAGGTAATCAACTGATTTTTCATTAGTGGGAAAATTTTTCAGAGGGAAAGCAAGCAAAATAATTGTAGAATCTTAATGCAAGTGAGGCTGGGGGGAGATCATCCAGTCCAACCCTGTGCTCAAACAGAGTCAGCTGGAGCAGGTTGTCCAGGACTGTGTCCAATTTTGGATATCTTCAAGGGGAAAGCTGTTCTAGTGTTCAGTCAGTTGTAGATAAAGGCATTGAAAAGCCAAATGAGCTTTTGACAGTTTGTGTTTCACTCTGATCTTGGATTTACGATGACAGAATCACAGGATGGTTCGGGTTGGAAGGAACCTGAAATCTTGTTTCAACTCCTGCCATGAGCAGGGATACCTTCCAGTATCCCAGGTGTCTCCAAGCCCCATCCAAGCTGGAAGATTCACCAGTTTACTGGAGTGCCTGAGGGCAGTGGATGCAGGATATCTTTACCTCTGAATTAACATCATGATCTAGACTTTGCACCCTTTTCCCTTTCGCTTTTAAGAACACAGATGTTTCTAGGCATTAAAAGCTGTGCTTTGACACCTTTTCCCTCTTTTAATTCCTCAGGAAAAAGCCTGTGGAGAAGAGCAAGAAACTCTTCTTATATTATGTGTCTTTCTTCACCTCCCCCTTTGTGGTCTTCTCCTGGAACGTCATCTTCTACATTGCTTTCCTGCTGCTCTTTGCCTACGTGCTGCTTATGGATTTCCAGAAGGAACCCACGGCCCTGGAGATCATCCTCTACGTGCTGGTCTTCATTCTGCTTTGTGATGAAGTGAGACAAGTAGGCAGCTCTTGCAACCCCAGAAAGTTTAGTGTTAGAGCCACAGCCTTGTGGCTTTTCCCCTCCAAGGCAGTGCAGGTGCTCAGGGGAGCCACTTCCTAGCAGAGCTGCTCAGGGCTCAGTGAGGGTTTTTTCCTCTGGTCTTCAATTCCTGCTTGTGCCCCTGCAGCTGCAGTGTCTGTGCACCAAGAGGATAATGATGCCACTGCAGAGGTTTCCTAGGAATGCTTGGCTTGCCAAGGTAGTTGGTACTAAAGGCTTAGATTTAGCACATTTACCTTGGTGCAAAGCTTTAGATTAAGTCACTCCTGCCTCTCTTCCCTACATTCCACCCCCTTTATTTTTTATTTTACCAGTAAGCTGCATACCTTTATGCATTTCTATTTAGCTTTTAATCATCTATACAGGTTTTGGGGGCTCAGTGTAGACTCAGGGACCAGCTGTGATGTGGGAACAGCACGTGGGACTGCCTTTATAGCCAGCCACTTAGCTGGTATCTTCTCCTCACCTCACATGGAATCTGGTGGGTTTTGGGCAAGCTGGTCTCTGCCAGTCTGTGGCCAGAGCAGTGGGAGGCTGCTGGGGGAGGCAGAAAGCAGTGGGGGTGTGGGTTTGGTGCTGCTTTCTGGCTCTGCTGTAAGGCCTGAGTCGCCTCATGAGTGTTTGTGGGTGATCTGCTGGATCATCCCACCCTGCTGTAACATTTTTTTAACTTGAGCTCAGATGACATTTCTGATGCTGATGTTCCTGTGGTGTTTTCCCTTTTAAATAGTCAAGATGGAACCCTGTTTATGGCAACTTTACTTGCTAAGAAAATGGGGGAAAATGAAAAGACTTTTTTGCCATGAAAACACTAATGGAGTGTTTGTTTCTGCTGATTTAGGTTCTGGTGTCTCTGGACCTGTCCTTGCACGTCCTGTGTGTACCCAGCAAAAATCCTGGGGAAAACCTTAGGGATAGAAACCTTATATTCCTGTCAATGTCTCTTTTTCTTACTACCCTGAGCAGGTAGAACTGCTGCAATTCCCTTTAGTAAGTGGTAGCCAGACCGCACCAATTTGCTAGTGGAGGCAGCTAAATTGGAAGATTTCAGGTTATCTGCAGCCAGTGTTCTGGCTGCAAAGCTGTTTTCCTGAGGAGGAGAAACGGAGCAGAAAAGCAGAGCAGTGTCCCAATCCTCTAAACTTCTTGGGGAAATTCCTCCCTTGCTTCTCCTGAGATAGACCATGTGTGCATTGCTTCAACTCTGCATCCAAATTGTGTCTGCGTCCTTTGTATTTAAAGAAATAAAAGAGAGGGGTATCTCAGATTTTGTTCTCACATCCAAGGCAGGTAAGAGCAGCTTGCCTGGGGTCCCATGGAGCTGCAGCAGTCAGATAACCAGTTCTGGGAGAAATCAGCCCCCCTTGGTCTGGAGCAGCCTCTGAGCTGTAAGCCACTGGCTCAGCCCTGCTTTCACTTCTGGTGGTCCTAGGGATTTGTAAGGAGCTAGAGCTGCTCCAGTCCCATTTAGAGCCATGGGGAAGTTGGAGAGGCCTTGTCCCTGCTGTCTCCTTAGCCACATGGAGGTAGCCTCCAGCCAGGTGAGTGGGTGGACTGGTGGGCTGTGAAGGAAAGCCCTGTTTTCTCCAGTGGAGGAGGAATCTGGACAGAACCTCTGTGCACTTTACCTCTCAGCAGTAGGAACTGCTTGGAATTTGGAGAACTGCACCTCAGTCCCAGAGGTTTTGCTTGATTTAGGGAGCTACTGGGCAGAGACAGTACTTCTATGGGAAGCAAACAGAAATCAAAGGAAGTTTTCTCCTAGGTGCTAAGGGCAGAATTGCCTTCCTTGGATATGCCAGTTAGAGATTCATTGAGCAGTACTCTCCAAACCTCTGATTATTTCAATGAAAATTGAAATTCAAAAGAATTATGACTGGGGATGCAGTTTATTTCTCCAGGCCTGGCAGAGGTTTGTCCTGGTGATGAAGCTTCTTGTCCTCATCAGTCACCTCTGAACTGACTCCAGAAGTTGGTTCTTGCACAGACCTGGGATCCAGGCTGCTGTGCCAGTCAGTCAGGGAATGAGCAGGGATTCTCACTAGACTTGCAGTTCAGAAATAGAGAGGTGTGTAATTAAAAGAATAAATAAAATCTGCATCTTGGATCCAAAGCATGTGCCTGTAGCGGGGGGCAGATTAGTGAGTGAGCTCTGTGAAGGGAGAGAAGCCAGGATGCATCAGCTACCCCTAAACTGTGACGCCCCCACAGTGCCTCCTGGACCTCCAAGACCCAAAAAACCAGGTTGCCAGTAACTTGTGGCACTGCTGGATACACTAAACCCCTCTTTCTGGGGAAATGGAAAGCCCTCCGAACTCTGGTGTTATCTGTTGTGTGACAAAAAGCTAATTGGGCAAGGAAACTGTGCTGTGTGGGGGTTACTTTCTGTTCTTTTTCCTTCCCAGTGGTACATGAACGGCAGCAAGTATTTCTCAGACCTGTGGAATGTTATGGATACCCTTGCAATCTTCTACTTCATAGCAGGGATTGTGTTCAGGTGAGTGGTGCCTTCTCTTGTGTCCATGTTACAGCTTTGCTTCCCTCCCTTCAGGTGGGTTCTGACTACAATCTGTAATGAAATTTTGGGGAGAAATGTATTAATGGAATTCCCTTTATGAAGGTCCCAAATAATGGCAAGTATGGACTTAAAAAAAAAAAACCAAAAAAAAGTCAGAGGACCTTTAGGATTTCTGTGGCTCCTGTTACTGGCTATTTAGTGTGACCACTTGGGCCTTGTGTTGTATTTAAAAGGACTGGGATTGTCCCTTACAGCAGCCTAAGAATGTCATTATCTCCCAGAAGCTGTTCTACACAATGGGGTCAGTTAAAAACCACGGCAAAGAAATGATGGAAACACATTTTCCAAAGCAATTGTTCAGTCAGCTGTAACTTAGTCCTTGTTGCCTCAGGGCAGTGGAGCAGTTGCTGCACTGTGGTGCTTTCAGAGGGCTGTGGGAGTAGCTCCAGGTACAAATCTCCTTGCTGTTAATAGCTTTAGGGTAAGAGAAATAATGAGCAGGGCTGATGCATGTCAGGAAGAAAGGGTGTAAACAGAGTGTGCATTAACCATCTCTGTCACCTGTCATTAGATGGGGAGGCCATGGGGCCCTGCATAGCTGTGCTCTGCTTTGCAATTCCTCACCTTCCACTCTCCATTTCAATGTTTCAGTGTGGTTTTGCCTGATTTCTGCATGATTCACCCAAGGCTTCTCTTTGTTTTCTTCTGCTGTCTCCATCAGGTGTCACTCTGATGAAAGCTCTTGGTATTCCGGGAGGGTAATTTTCTGTTTGGACTACATAGTTTTCACCCTGAGGCTCATCCATATTTTCACAGTTAGCAGGAATCTAGGACCCAAAATTATTATGCTGCAGAGGATGGTAAGATTCTGGCAGCTATTCAAGAGAGTCTAAATACATGATGTGACACTTTTTTTTCCTCCTTCCCTTTTAAGAGTGAAATCACCATGTTCTGCTGATGCCAGCAAGTTAAATCTGCTAAACAGGATGAATTAAGATTTAAATGGGATCTAATTAAGAGTAGGGCATTTTTCTGTGCCAAGAGAGAGAATGAGGATCAGGTTGAAGAACAGAAGAGGAAATTTGCTTCCTGGTAGCTTCTGTCTTTTGTACCTCAAACGTTTCAGTGGTATTTCTGTTGCTCCCATGAGTATTCCCCAAACAAGACAGTGATGATGCAGGGTACAAGAGGAGGATTTTGGTCCTCCACTGCATCCATCACATGAGTACCTGAGGAAGAGGGTGATGAGGATCCTCTATACAGTGTTAGAAATTAATGAAACCATTGGCCAGAGTGTCTGGGCTGTAAATGCTGGTTGGAAGCCATCCAGAGTGGCATTTCCAGAAGCTTTCATCTCATAGGGGCAAGGTAAGCCACAGTCCTTTTTACCTGGTTCTGGCTTTTGTGGAGCCTGTCTGATGCCAGGGGAATATCCTGTATTCCAAAACGTGCCTTGCTTTTATGGTTGCATAAATATTTTTGAAGTTCTCTGAATGGGAGTGGTCAATGTGTGTTGGTGAAATTAGGAGCAAGAAGCCATCCACGTGTGGCTTGCAACAGTCCTGCAGTGGGGCACTGACTGATGCCTGTTGTCCTTTTTCAGATGATAGATGTCTTCTTCTTCCTCTTCCTCTTTGCTGTGTGGATGGTGGCCTTTGGTGTGGCCAGGCAAGGCATCCTGAGGAAGAACGAGCACCGCTGGGAGTGGATCTTCCGCTCGGTCATCTACGAGCCCTACCTGGCCATGTTTGGCCAGTACCCTGATGATATTGATGGTATTTATCTTCTGGGGGTCTCTCCTGGCTGTGTTGAAGGTTGTGCAGCCCTGTGCTGGCCCCTTGCCTCCAAGTCTAATGGGGAGCAGGGATGGAGGGATGAGGGCAGGACCTGCAGAACGAGGAGCTCACTCTTTGCCCTCCCCTCTCTCTCTCTGAGGTACCACCTACAACTTCGACCACTGCACCTTTTCTGGGAACGAGTCCAAGCCCTTGTGCGTGGAGCTGGATGCCAACAACCAGCCCCGCTTCCCGGAGTGGATCACCATTCCCCTGGTGTGCATTTACATGCTCTCCACCAACATCCTGCTGGTCAACCTGCTCGTGGCCATGTTCGGGTGCGTACCCAAGGAGCCGTGGCTTCCTGGTCATGTCTGGACTGGCATGTCTCTGGGAAAGGGAGTGCAGTGCTGGAAAAGCCACCCCTTGCCTCTGCATCTGCCACAGCAGCCTGGGGGAAGTGGTGCAGTGTCCTGGGGAGGGATTGCTGCCTGTCCTTTGCCTCCATCTCTGAGCATCCTCTGCACTGTGGGCGTGCTGCCAACCCCCGTGGGTCCCACAGGCTGATGCTGGGTCAGGGCCTCACCAAGTGTGAGCTGCTGCCCCAGTGACCTCGTGTCTTGCTTTGGAAAGACAGGTGCCTGCTAAGGAAGGCAGGAGCCTCCCCTGAAATGGAGAATGTAAACACCCCCTGCCCTCCAAATTGCTACAAATTTTAAATTAAGGGGCTCCCAGGCAAAAAATATGGGCACAGAAAATAACAGTTTGTTAATAGTGAAGAAAATAAAAGGATAAAATAAACAATGCAGTAAATTAAAACAACACTGACAGAGTCAGAACACAACCTGACACCCTGTTGGTCAGGGTGTTGGTAGCAGTCCAATTGGAACTGTGGCTGCAGTCCTCCTGGAGTGTCAGGTGTGGTTCTACTGGAGCAGGGATCCTGTAGAAAAGGGTGTAGTCTTCCTCTGAAGATCCAGTGGAAGAGGCAGCTGCTGTTCCTCTGGGAAATCCAGTGGAAAAGCTGTGTTGGTGTTCCAGAAGCTCCAGATTATATCCAGGCAGGAATGCTGGGCTCCTCTCCCTGGGCAGAGCATCTCCCACTGGGATGCTGTAGTTCTTATCAGTCATGCAGTGACATTCAGTAGCCTGTTATCAGCAGATGCCCTCCTGGAGGGAGGAGTGGGTGTGAAAGAGATAAGGAAAACTGCCCACTTCACAGAAGACAGCTGCCAGACCGATGGCAAATAGAATACATCTTCCCTTGCAATCTGGGACACCTGGCTGGAGTGAGTAAATGAGTTATGATCACTCTTCAGGACACTGTGGTTTTATTAACCTGAGCTGCTGTGTGGTGAGGATGGGTCTGGCACTGCTCTGGTGCACCTGCCATTTATTGTTCTGACTTAGAGCACAGGCAGTGGGCCACATCCCCGTGGGGCATGCAGAAGGACTTTGTCTTGAGAAGTGCCATCACCTCTAGACCAGCAAGGGCAGGGAACATCTTCCTCAGCTTCTCCCAGAAATCTTTGTTGCATCCACTGCAAGCTGTGACAGGGAGTTGATTGAATCCTGGGAAGTTCCTCATATCAGCCTCTGTGTCTCCCTTGGGAATGCAGCTGGATTGGTGCTGTGGCTCTGTTCCCACTGCCAGCCCTGCTCCTCTTCTGCTTTACACTCACATCACAACAAGAGTACTCAAAACCTCTGGCCACCCTTTCTTGAGGACCACTAGGTTTATTTCTGTGTTTTGCTGGTACCTTGGCAGGAAGTTTCTTTGGCAGCAAGAGAGTATTTGCAGGACTCCCGGTGCTGCTCAAGAGGATCTCTCAGCTGAGTGACACTGCCACTGTTTCCTGGCCTGAGATGTCTGAGTGTGATAAGTTGAGAAAGGCTCAGAGCAAAACCTAACTCTGAGGCATTCTCCCCAGGCTGACCTGGACTCTAAAGACAGTCAGAAATGTCATTTTGGCAAGGCAGCCAGGATGTGACTGGGGACAGACAAGCATGCTCATAGTCCCTAGAAAGGGTGCAAGTACCTCTCAGCAATGAAGGGAAGTGTGGCAGTAAGCCAGCTCTACTCTAAAAACCTTTAATATTTGCTAGAACGCTTACTTTAACAGCTGTTAAAGCTGTTAACAGCATTAACCTGATGGTAACTGCTCTAGTTTATGCTGTCATGCCAGTAAAAACCCTCTAGTTTTGGCCAGTTGTATTTATCTTTTGAGCAGAAAGAGAAGCTCCACCAGTGAAGGTTGGCATTTGTCTCATGTAAAGGTGCATTAGGCTCTCAGCAGAGGCATTTTGGGAGCATCCATCTGCCCCTTCATGTCACACTGAAAGGTCAGGTAGCCTGGGAGCTGCTTGCTCCTGTGGTTGTTGCTTTGCTGGGTTCATACAGTGCTTTGTGCCCTGGGTTTGATCTGTGCCTGCAGTGTCCTTAGTACCTCTACTACCGATCTCATGAGCTTTTAAATTTCTTGTAAGTGTTCTAGTTTTAGGTTTGGGTTTTTTTCCCTATGAAAGGAGTTATCTGCTCAGTTAATAGGACACAATGTCTTGTGAAGAAGCATCCTGTTCTCACGTGTCTAGGCTAGAAGAAATTGCTTTGGGCTGAGGCAGCAAAAGTACATGGAGCATTTTGTTCCTATTCAGATTTTTTCTGGTTTATTTGTAACTTCAAGGTGGTTTTTTTTCCTACTGTTTTAGTTCCACCCATTTGCAAATTACTCACTAAGAAGGAGAACAAACTAAATAACCTCCTAGTCAATAAAAATTACCACCTTCAGAATGACTGGGGCCCCTAACATCAGAAGGACATGGAGCTGTGGAATGAGTCCAGAGGAGATTGTCCAAGGGCTGGAGCCAGGCTGGGAGAGCTGGGGGTGCTCACCTGGAGAGGAGAAGGCTCCTGGGAGAGCTCAGAGCCCCTGGCAGGGCCTAAAGGGGCTCAGGAGAGCTGGAGAGGGACTGGGGACAAGGGATGGAGGGGCAGGACACAGGGAATGGCTTCCACTGTCCGAGGGCAGGGCTGGATGGGATATTGGGAAGGAATTGTTCCGTGTGAGGGTGGGCAGGCCCTGGCACAGGGTGCCCAGAGCAGCTGTGGCTGCCCCTGGATCCCAGGCAGTGTCCCAGGCCAGGTTGGATGGGTCTTGGAGCACCCTGGGATGATGGAAGGTGTCCCTGCCCATGGCAGGGGTGGAATGGGATGAGCTTTAAGGTCACTCCCAAGCCAAACCACTCTGGGATTCTGGGACTGTAAAACCATGCCCTGGTAGAGTAGAGGAATGCTCTGTTCTTGCCTCGGATGCAGCTCTTGGCTGAACAACTCATCCTGGCTGTGTTCTCTCTTTCCCACCAGCTACACTGTTGGGTCAGTGCAGGAGAACAATGACCAGGTGTGGAAGTTCCAGCGTTTTTTCCTGGTGCAGGAATACTGCAGTCGCCTGACCATCCCCTTCCCCTTTGTCATCTTTGCCTACATATTCATGGTGCTGAGGAAATGCTTCAAGTGCTGCTGCAACAAGGAAAGCAAAGAGCCATCCATTTGCTGTGAGTTGGGTTTTTCCTTGTTGCCCAAAAGTCATCTCTGCAGCAGGTGCATTGCAGTTCCTCCATGGCATCCTGTGCTTATGCCAGGCATTTTGTGCTGTGCTGGGAAATTGCCAAGGGCCATGCAGACCTCTGTCATGCAAATCCACTGTGCTACTGAAATCTCTTCAGTGAGATTCAAGTTTTCAATTTATCCAGTGCTCTCTTGTCCAAGCCATGTTGCTGTAGAATTGCCCTGTGTGTGTCAATCATTAAGATTTCAGATGAATCCTGACTCTTCAGGGCTGCCTGTTTCCCAGCTTTGCCAGGTTGTGGGTTTGGCTTTTTTGTAATTCATTCTGCTTGCTAGGGAGTGACTGAAAGAGAACAAACAGTTTCCATGTAGCCAAATGAGCTAACCACCTCAAAAATGTGCCAAGTCAGTTCTCGAGCTGTTTCTCCTTTAATTTCTCTGTCAGAGGACACAGATAGGAATTGTTTTAACAAGCTTTCCCCCACCTCTCCAGCAAGTGTAGTATTTTCTCAGCTGAGAGAGCATAAGTTGAGTTAATTGACAGGCTTGTTCCCATCCATCAGCAGCCTGCCTGTTGTCCTGCAGCAGAAGCTGGATTTGTTACCAGTTAAGGAGGAAGAGCCTGCTTTGGGGTATAAAATTGCTTAGCACTAAATCATTTTGGCTGTCCAAATTGCTGTGTGGATTCCTTGCTGGGGAAGCTGTTGGATGGCAGATATTCCTGCTCAAATGATGCACAGTTGATGCTGCAGCTCTGAAAGAATGGGAGAGTTAATTAGAGCCAGAAAATGATTGTGGTTTTGCTGATGACAGGAACTGAGAACTTCATGGAGGAAGCACGTTGGTGTATTGACTGTTGTAAAATCCTGCCCTGCCCATTTAATTCTTATGGAAATAGTTGGGATTTGGGTCCTTAAATACTTGTTGGAATGCAGGAGAACAGCTGAGGGGTGTGTGAGCTCAGAGGAGCACTGGTGGGAGAAAGGGACTTCAGCCCTGGGCTTCTTTTGTCTCAGTTAATTTTATTTTTTTATTTAAACCCTTATGGTTTAGGCTGTCCTCTTGGAACAGGATAAAATGCTGGAGTATTACCCTGGAGGCCTCTGATGCCTCAAAGTGGGCTCGTCTGTATCAACTCTTGAATTTACAGCACCACCACAAAATGCTTTTTAGAAAAGACAATTCTCCATCATTCTGGAGTGCTTCAGTTCAATGAAAAGTCCTACATCATGGTTCTTAGAAGTGTTACTCTTAATGATCCAGCATGGCATAATGTAGGAACAAATGGAAAGCTCAGACCCAGATGGGAACTTGCTAGAATGTCCTGTACCTGTTGGAGCAGAGGCACCTGTGTTAACCAAGACTCAGAGAAGTCCAGAAAGACTTTTGGAGCTTGTAAGGTTGGGGGAAGGGGTTTTGTGTTTGCAGGATTTGGGGTTTTATGTCTGCACCTATTTTGTATTTTTAAGTGACTCTGGTTGCCAGGAGCATTCAGTGCAAGGGGTTAGTGCCACATCTGTCAGAGCTGAGGCAGGGGTGGGCAGTGGGGCCGTGAGTGCCCAGGGTGTGGAGCAGGGAATCCTTAACCTCAGCATGCACACACTGACCCAGCCTTTTGCACCTTGCCTCTGGAAAGACAAATTAAGTATTTTTTCCTCAAATACATTTCTCAGGCTCAAGAAATGAGGACAATGAAATCCTGGCATGGGAAGCTGTCATGAAGGAAAATTACCTCGTCAAAATCAACACAAAAGCAAATGATTCGTCAGAAGAGTAAGCCTGCCCATCTTTGTCTTCATTCTCTTAATTTTCTCTTGAACATTTCTAGTGAAGGCAGGTTTTTAGCAGCTCTGAATGTTTACAAACCAATGAGTAAGTAAACAAACTCAGCATAGACATGCTTTTGATTTCTAAAGTGAATTGGTGCTTTTTTGTCTGCTGAAGAGAAGAAAATGTCTTCCCATGGTGTTTTGAGATCTCATCATGGGAAGCAGTGCCACAGCTGACCCTTGTTGCAGCATTAGTTTAGGCTGGACATTAGGAAAAAGTTCTTTATGGAAAGGGTTGTCCAGCCCTGGAACAGACTGCCCAGGGCAGTGGTGGCACTCCCATCTCGGGGTGGGGATTTAAAAGCTGTGTGGATGTGGCACTTGGGGACACAAGTTAGTGGCAGAATTGGTTGGACTTGATATTTTCCAACCCAAATAATTCTACGGTTATACATTTAGCAGAGGATGTTTACCATTAGACCTGGAATCTCAGACATTCCCACAGCAGTAATCCAGATGGAGAGGTGTACTTAGTAGCATGAGTAGGGAAGGCCTCTGAGGAGGGAAGATGGTCTTTAGAATCACGGTATTTGGAGCTTGGAGACTTAGACTTGGATGTTTCTTTGACTGCCAGCTCATGGAAACATTATCTTTGGGATCTGTCTCACTGTTTTCAGAGTACTGTTATAAGAGAAAAAAGAAACAGAGCGCAAGAAAACAGAACACTGCTAGAGAACAAAACCTGCTCTGTATGATTGCTTAACTTTGCTAACTTCTGGCAGCCTGAGTATTTTGCTTCATCAGAGAGAGCTGATAGGAATGGGCAGAAAAACCAGACCCTTCCATATCCGTGGGCATGGACATTACTGTCCACAAACAAGTGTTTAGGTTAAGACTACCCAGAGACACGCAGCGTTGGGTAAGAAGCCAAACAAATACCAAAAATATCTCCTTGGTGCTGGAAGCAAAAGTGTCTTGAGAAGGAAAATGGAACAGCATCTTACTAAGAGTAATTTGCATGTTGGTTAATTGACTTGTACTAAAAATGATGCCAGTCACATGCAGCCCTGCCTCCCTGGCAGGATGGAGCAGTGGGGGGAGCTGGGGTGTGGGAATCAGCCAAGTTTTCCTTGGTATCCGGACTGATCCCTTTGCTCCGTGTTCTCCTTCTGCTTCTAGGATGGTGCATCGATTTAGACAACTGGATGCAAAGGTACTTCTGTCCCAGATTGCTCTGGGAATGTGATTCTCTCTGGTAAAGCAGGGGGTGTGCCATGGCAAGGAAAATGAGCCTCCCAGAGGCATGTGCAGTCTTTGTCACTGTCACCAGGACCCCAGTTTAATGGGCTTTTTTACTGTGCAGTTTGGATTCCAGAGATGGGAATGTGCAGGGCGTGTAGTGATTAGGACAAGAGGGAATGGTTTTGAACTTAGAGCAGGAATAGATGGGATAATGGGAAGAAATTCTTGGCTGTGGGGGTGGGGAGGCCCTGGCACAGAGTGCCCAGAGAAGCTGTGGCTGCCCCTGGATCCCTGGAAGTGTCCAAGACCAGGTTGGATGGGGTTGGAGCAGTCTGTGTCCCTGCCCACAGCAGGGGTGGAACACAATGGGCTGTAAGGTCCCTTCCAAGCCACAAGACCTTCATATTGTGCAGGAAAATGAAACAGAAAGACACTTGCTTAGCACTGGAGGAGTTCTGGGATAGAAGAAAATAGAAGTAATTTCCACCTTAAACAGCAACATTCAGCTGTGTAACAGGCCCATGAAACACCAGTGGGAAGAAGGGGTGTCACACACCTGACACGTCCCCTTCCCAAAGGTGTCTGTCGACTTCAGCTTCTGGTGCTGTTGGCATGGGGTAATTAAGCAACAGAAATCTACCAATCTACCAGAGAGCACCTTATGAGAATTGCCATACAAATAATCTTTCTGTGACTGTGATGCTGAGACGACCTTAACAGTGGGTGTTTTCTGAGACTGGGCTGAATTATCTCTTTGGCCTCTGAAGTGGGGAGTGGCTTTGGTATGAAGCACAGACTGCTGAGAAGCTCACGGGTGAAAAGAGCCACATATACTTCAGAGTACATATTTTGGTTGCTGTCAAATAATTTAGATGGCAAAATGATAGCTTGCTTCTCAGACTGAACAGGGAGTGGTGAGCGAGTCTGTGGCTAGTGATGCTGCTCTTGAATCTGAAAGGAGATCCTCCTAACCTTAATTCTCTCCTGAAAAGAAATGCCCATCTCTTGCATCTCTCTTCTGCTAACTGCTGGTTAACTCACTGAAATACAGAGGCATCAGGGCTCGTTGCATTAATTGCCCTGATGAACACTGTAATTGGGAGTGTCTTCTCAAGCACTCTTGCATTTGGTGTAATACTTGAAGAGGCAATTACTCATTACTTGCATTTCTCATTAGCATTGCTTTCCTTCAGCAAGATGGACTTCACAAAAATAACCTCCTTCTTCTTTTTTTAAAAGCTCTCTGACTTGAAAAGCCTTCTGAAAGAGATTTCCAGTAAAATTAAATGAGTGCAGCTGAAATCCAAGAGCAGCTACTGGAGCAGGGTGAGCCCTCTTTAAATCCATTCTCTGCCTTGAAGAAGTGTATCAGCATTTGTGATGTTAAATTGGTGTGTCTTTGAAAGAAGAGTAAGTATTAATTGTTGATGCTTGTATTCATATTGTCTGATACTGGGAGAGAAAGGAGACATGAATGCTCTTCCTCATTTGTATTTTTCTTTCTGAAAGATACAGTTTTTCATCTGGGGTTTTCTATCAGTTTTTGGCACTGTTTAAAATACCTTGTTTTGCTCACTTGCCTTTGAAAAACTGTGACTAACCCATGGTTATTTTAGTTGTCTTTGTGTTGGAGGGCCTCTAGAAAATGCAAGGCTGCTGTGCTGGATCCTTTAGCCTTGGTACCTTTTAACTCTGAAGAGCAGGCAACCCAAATAGAAAAGACTGAAGCGAGGGCAGGAGTAAGGTTTATTTTTCCACTGTCAGAGTGGGGCATTAGGCTGGATCATGTACCCTTCCTGTGTCCAGTACAATAAGCTGCAGTGTGAGGAGCTGACCCAAAGCCTCCGGTCCAGCTGAGTGTCTGGTCATCAGCCTTGGGTCCTTTAGCCTCCAGTTTCAAGGAAGAATTGGCTTGGATCCCACAGTGGGATGTGAAAGGCAGACAGAATACTGATGGATGCAGAGAACACGGTCATCTTTTGAGACAGCAGGTTAAGTGTAACTGTTGAATGGCATAATCTGGAACAACTTGATCAGCCTGGCCATTAGGGCCTGGCTCCTTCTTCCACAGAGTGGTTTTGTCCAAGAGAACTTAAAGCTGTGCCAAACATTCCCCAGTCAGCTCACTGTTTTCCTGGGAGAACTGAATATTCACTTGACTTAAATTCCATGTAGTCATGAATGACTTGCAACCACCTAATAAAATCTACAAGGATCACCAGTTCCTGGGCTGGTTCCAGGATGTGTTGGACTCCAAGTTCCCCAAAAACTAGGCTGTAGAATAGTGGAACTCGCCATTTAGTCCAGCGCTGCTCAAACAGCACCAGCACAGATCAAAGGGAGCTGCAGTGTGGCTGGAAAACAGCCTGAGATTAGATACAGTGGGGCAGCCTGGGACAAGGGGACAGCAGTTTATGATGGAGCTTCTGGAAAGGGGTCTCTCATTATAGATGACAGTGCCTTCAGAAGAATCCCAGAATCCCAGAATGGTTTGGGTTGGAAGGGACCTTGAAACACTAATTGCTCGTCTGAATGAATCCATCTCCCTTCCATTCTCTCCTGTAGTAGCCGGATCTTGCTTATTCCTTGCATGGGCTGTCTGTCAGACTTGCTGGGGGCTGGAATGCTGGCGTGCCAGAATGGATTGGATTTCAGTAGCATCACCCCGAGGAAAGCCTTTGGTCCAGCCCTGCATCCCTATTTCAGACTGTACAGGAACATTGTGGACTTGTTCCCACTCTACCTGAAACCTTCCAGCAGAAGTTCAGCTATTACAGCCCTGCATGGGAGAGACATTAATTCATCCAAGAAGTGTTTGCAAAGGCTTTGTGGGCAATCCTTGCTTGCTTTCATTAGTGAAAATTTGTATCCTGGCAATGATGGAACTCATTGGACTTTTCCAGAATGCATTTGCTGATGTTTGCATTTGGAAATGGAGAAGAGATTGTTGGAACCTTTAAATAGAGCAATGCTTGATATGGTGAGGTGGTGCTTTGTGCTTTCTGTCTAAAATAGCAGCTGAATTCTGTCACATTTGTTCGGTATAGCTGAGAGCACAGCCGAGTGAGGGCACTACAAATAGCATTTATTTACATGGCAAAACATTGTATCCATCTTCCTTCCCAGTGTCTAGGAATCATGGAATCGTAGACTCACTAGAGGAAAGGACCTGCAAGGATCACGAAGTCCAACCCCTGGCCCTGCACAGACACCCCAACAATCCCACCCTGTGCATCCCTGAGAGCATTGTTCAAATGTTCCTTGGGCTCTGGCAGCCTGGGGCTGTGCCCTTTCCCTGGGGGAGCCTGGGCAGTGCCCAGCACCCTCTGGGGGAAGAACCTTTTCCTGATATCCCACCTGACCCTCCTCTGACACAGCTCCAGCCACTCCCTCAGGTGCTGTCCCTGTCACAGAGAGCAGTGATTGGAGCTGTCCCTCGGGAGGAAGCTGCCAGCCACGCTGAGACCTCCTCTCTCTCTCTCCTTCTTCTCCTTCTCTCCAAGCTGAACAAGCCAGTTGACCTCAGCTGTTCCTCATACCGCTTCCCCTCCTGTCCCCTCATCATCTTCATTCCCCTCTTTGGATGCTCCCTGCTGGCTTTATATCCTTATGAGACATTCAGAGAGGTTGCTGTTCTTTTCTCCCTGCATCTCATGACCCAGCTGTACTGTATGCTGTGCATGACACCATCCTGGGGGATCCAGCACTAACAGTAGCAGTGGTATTTGTTTACATGGGGAAATATTTCCTGCTGAAAAGGAGCCAGGCTTTCACTCATTCACATGGCAGTTAGCTTGCATCATACATTCTTGAGACCCACAGAGCCGCTGCCACCATGGCGAGGGCGGCCGCGTCTCCTCCCGCGGGGCTGCGCAGTCGCTGCTGCCCCGGCAGCTTTTGGCCCCACAGAAACAGCAGCAGAGCCTGCTCAGGAACGTGCTCAAGAACAGCAAGTGTACTTTCAGCACTTCCATTGGCTGCTCCTTTAGGGTGATCGCACCACTCTCAGAGACACAGAACACCTTCTCCTTCTCCTTTGAGAATTATGTCTGTCCTCTGCACTTTTGCAATGCTCCAGATATTAGCTGCTGGCCTCAGCTAGACATATAAACAATGCTGCATTAAACTTTAAACTCGCCTGGTTTTTTATGCAAGGATGCGTGAAAAACACACAGAAAAGTCCAAGGAGACATGCGAGTGGCTCTGTAGAGTCTCTCTGTCCTGTGAAATTCAGAAGCTGTTGGTGCTTTTGTACTGCAGCTAATCCCAGCTATGGAAAAAATCATTCCAGGAAAGAGCAACATCATCTGACAGAGACCAAGGATAAGAACACTCCAGAGTTCTCTGAGCACGTGACGGGACAGAGCAGTGCTGTGAGGAGCCCCTGCACAGCGCACTCGTTCTTGTCTGACCCAGAGGTTTTCTGAGTGTTGTTTCTGCAGCTGACCTTGAGGGCAGACCACAGGACCTGGTGACCCGTGGCCTTCCGAGGCTTCTGTTCTGCAGGTGCCCTCGAGGGCAGAGCTTGGGACTTGGTGCCCTGGACCTTTTCCAAGGCTTCTGTCCTGCAAATAGCTCCTACTAGTCACTGACATGGAGCAGCGGGTTTGATCCTTCAAGGGGTTGTTTAGTCTCCGAAGCCACGCCTGCTGGTCCTTATGAGCC